TTAGGGTTAGGGTTTGGGTACATGGATCCAGAAATAAATTTAGGCTGGAGAAATAGGTTAGGGTTAGGGTTAGGGTTAGGGTACATGTATCCAGGGGGGTAAAAAGGTACATAGGAGTTGGCAGCTTCTCGTTCTTGGACATTTGATGCGGTGTACTGCATCGATTTCTGTTGCTGTGGATCCTGAGGTGAACGCGAGTTAGCAGGTTTAACGAGATTTTCCACCATATTCACTACAGAAGGAGTTGCAGCACTTAACAAGAATGGGATCAATGAATAAGATTCCTTAACCAACAGTAGTGAAACTGTCAGAAAAAGAGGTACCAAAGTATACAATTTCATCCCTATTGAAGGGAGAATTTCCCACTTAAATGATAAATTTCAATTTGATTATGAATGGGCCAATAAAACATTGCTGAAAATTTAAAGGATCATCCACAAAAATACCACCTTTAAAAGCCTTTAATATTTGATGCACATGGATATGCTAGAAAAGCTATGACACAAGAATACACATTTGTATTGAGACTGATATAAAATAGTTGACCCATAAAGGATTGCCTATATCTGCATATATACAAACTTGAAATTCATCGAAGAAAACAGACATGCCAGAGGGCCGAGGCCAAGAAGTAATACGAGAAAATACATTTGATTTATATCTGCAGGCAGAAAGCAAATATGTTATAGATAAACCTCCAAAGCAAAAATTATATCTCACCGAGGGGTCTAAATGTGTCCCAAAATACATTAGCATCAACGGTAGGCCGGAAGCCTCAAATGCATCATACCAAGTGTATTAAAACTTGACCCTAATAAATTAATTAAATCCCCAAAATACGTACCATCCTATCGAGAGCACCACACTATGCTCTTTGACGAAGATTATTTTATCAGTTTTCTTTTGAATAACGAAATTCCATGTGTTTCCACAATTTTAAACATTAATTTTTATCACGTGTCAGATTTTTCGCGGTTCTAAACCAGAAACACTCGTGTATAAAACCGATGTAGTTTCATTGAATCAAAAACAAGATTCAATTGTCGTTCTTGTTTCTCCTTCCCCATTTTATTATCACACATAATAAAAGAGATAGCACTATCAAATCTGAGGCTTGTGTTATTTTGCCGGCCATGTGACGAATGGAGAGGAAAATAATAATTTAGTAATAAATCGATGGGGGTAAAATTGTAGATGGAAGTTTCATCATAAGGATATGGTTCAATATCATTTCAGTGTCGAAATAACGCAGTTGAAAAAAAACTTGTTCATACAAATGTTTATTCACATAGACATAGCCCGAGACTGTTTGGAATCCATTCATTTGGAGTCCTCGTAAATTCTTTCATCATCCAGTGAATTCTTCGAAAAGAAATCTCAGGATAAAATAAAAATCTTATTCCAAGTGGAACATACGAAAATGCGGGTTCCTTCCAAAAAATTATCCCTATCGAAAGATTAATATAAAACGGCTGATTGGTGGTTTGAATCGTCGTTAGACATAAATTGTTCAAAAAGCATCAAGATTGAATCATGTAAAAGTAACATCTACACTATAAAATAGAGATTTCACTTGGAATA